GACAAGCCCTGCTCCCCTGCAGAGCTGGGGGAGCTGAGCCCTGGGCTCCCACCATGGCAGCTCACAGGCAGTGAGGGTGCAGCATCTCCCGGGCTGGGCACAATGCTCGTCTCTCTGGGAAGCCTTGACCATATCTTGTGAGCTTCTGATCCAGCTAAGGGTACACAGATTTTCCAAGAAAAACCGTGCAAGGTGCCATGAGATGGGTAAGGCAGTTGGCAGCAGTGCAGGGTGAGCTGTTCTGCAAAGCATGAGATGACCACAGCTGAACACGAAGTATTTCAGCGCAGGCAATGCCCCCAGGGATGTGTGGGGACTGACCTGTCCCTCCAGCATCGGCAGGAGGTGAGGGGAAGCAGTGATTTTACCTTGCCTTTGCTGGCAAGGCTAGCTCCAAAGCCTCCGTTTCGAGAAGGATGTGGAAATACCAAAGAGAGTTCAAAGGAGGGCCAGGAAAATGACCCAGGGCTGGAAAAGGAGTTGTCAGCGCTGGTCTCGAGGCAATCGAGCTCTTCAGCTTACTACAAGGAAGCACTGAAGACAGCTGCAGCTTTTCGCGTCATCGCAAGCCCACTTGCGGCGAGGTCCAAAATCATGTTACTTGCAATAAATTACCAGGAGCTGGTGACACTGAGCACATGGATGATGAATTACACACACACCTAGCAAGATGGGATCAAACCTGCTGGGGGTGGGCACTTCTCCCAGCTGGGCTGGGGCTCCTGCTACCGCTGGCATGAGTGAACCCCAGATAAAATCACACTGGGGCTGCTGGGCACCTGCAGCTACTGGCTCCTGTTCAAACAGCGACCAGCTTGGGAAGCACTTGCTCTTGAAACCCAGCTTGGCTGCAACTGGGGTGGCTTTTCCACTGAGCAGTGACCTCTCCCCAGACCCCTGGCAGCGGCTGGCAGCCCCTCCCATATGGCAAACCCCATGTAAGCATGGCCCCCAGGCTGGCAGTGCCCATACGCCCCTTGCAAAGATGGGCGCCCACCTTGCGCTGCGGTGCCGGGCATCCCATCAGAGGCAGCCCCGGCGATCCCCAGGGAGATGCATGGCTCCGACCAGCACAACTGCAGAAGGGATTTGGCTTTTGGAGTCACAGAGGGCTCCTGTTATGAGAGCTGAGCCAGCCATACAGCTGTAGCGTTAGAGGAGGAATAACAGACAGGAATCTGGTCCGCTATTAGTCCCTTGGGAATTGAGGGAGCTTTCTTGCTTTAATTACTTTGCAGACCCATTAAGCAGAGCTGCCACTGCAGCCTTGGAGCTGCGGTCGAGGAGCACCTGAAGGCAGAGCCGTGCAGACCCATTAAGCAGAGCTGCCACTGCAGCCCTTGGAGCTGCGGCCGAGGAGAACCTGAAGGCAGAGCCATCCTGTGCCTCAGGAGGTCTCCTGGCCAGGACCCCGATTTATGGGCAGGAAGGGTGCTTGCCTCAAGCTGATGTGCAGAGCTTGGGTCAGCCACATCTTCGGAGCACCGTGGGGCCAGTGAAGACCCACAAGCTTTCCACTAGATGGGGAAAGCCCAGAGGGTCCCACTTGATCTCTTTGCACATTTTAATTCATTGCAGGAGCTTTTCGTGACTTCAGCTTTTGGAAACAACGCTGATCAGGCAGACCTTCAGGCAGACCTGTTAACCAGACCCTCCCATCTCCAGAGCCATTAGGAAGGGCACAGGAGCGTATCACCATGCTCTCTCCTGGAGGCAGCAAAGCAGCTTCACAGCCCACCTGGGTTTGTTCAACTCTGTGTTCGCCACATGCGAGAAGACGTTGCCGTTACCAGAAAACGAGCAACAGAGCCGTAGCCCTTTGGTCTCTCGGGGGCTGTAACAGGCAAAGGCAGCCGAACTCCAAATGAGCAAGCTGCTGACCCCGTGGTGCACAGCCTCCTCTGGCTGGGGCTGCTGGGGCATGGCTCTGTGTCCCCGTGTCACCGGCAGCATCAGCTGGCTGCTGCCCACCCTCCTCCTCTTCCTCTCGCTTCTTCTCTCTTCTGAAGCTGCCCAAGCTCTTCCTCTGTCCCTCCGGCATGCTCGAGTTTCAACAGCCTGTTACGGATTGCTCCATTCCTGCACCTTCATCTGCGTTTTTCCACAGTCCAAGTGACCCGTATGGAGATAAGGGCTGGCTGTTCTGCCTTCCCATACACCACGGGACAGAGTGCTTCACTCTTTTATCCCTCTGCTGAGCCTGATGGCTCGTTTTTGGCAAAAACATCTTCCAGAAAAGTAGTGATTGTGGTTGTGAGGGCTTGGAGGGATGGAGAAGCCGCCACTTCCCAGGGAGTCTGTTCCAGCGGTTAAACATCCGCACTGTTAACAATCCCACTCCTTATTTTCAGCTTGATTTTGCCTGGCTTCAGCTTCCAATCAGTGGTTCTTGTTCTTTCTTTTTCCACTAGATTAAAAAGATCCTCAGCATCCAAAGCTTTCTCCCTGCGGAGGTCCGTACATC